GGCCCTCCAGGACCGAGTTTGGGCACCCCTGCTCTATGCCTTTTTAAAAACATACCACATTATAGGGATATCTTATTCTAGGTAATCAAAAGAGCTTTTTTAACCATGTAGCACTATGCCAAGCTAGTAGGTTAAGTGGTTAGCTCTTTAATCAAAGGCTAACTGAAAACTGAAAAATATTTTAATAACACCTCAGTACATGGAAGGAGAAATTAAGCCACTTTTTAAATAGATGCTAATGGAGGAGAGGTTTCATTAAGTTTTAAAATAAAATGTTTTGTGGAGAAACGGCTTGTCTTGTAATGAATCGACAGCCCTATCAGCTAATATTCAACACGTTTGACATTAAACAATCATTGTGGATTGGTCTATTTTTTAGTTAAAAAAATGTCTTTTATAAGAGAAGTCACAGTTTATGGCACTTCTCATTCATTACTATGCTTGACTGTTGCATAACTCAGACAGAAATTCATTGATGTCCAGTCTATAATGTGATTCGTTATTAAAGCACGTGTGATCTACGATGAACATTATGCTTTCTCAGGGCTTGAATTTTGGCGTGGGATTGCAGATGTTGCACTGAATGCTGTGACCCACCAAATTATGTGACCATAGTAGGTGCTGTATTGAGCTAATTCAACCTACTCCTAAACTCAAACCTAAACCTACTACCCTCACTACAGCGCCTACTAAGGTCACATAATTTGCTGTAACACGGGGATTGCGCGTAATTTTACTGGTTCCCGCAGTTTCTGTGCTGGTAACGTGGGAAATACCTGCAAATATTTCAGCGTGAAAGATGCTCGGGACACATGACGGAATGTATAATTTGCACATGCTTTTGAGTCTTACAATTTTAAACATTCAAGTGTTTAAAATTTGAATTTTAAACAAATTCAGTACTTTCGCACTCTCTGTGAGACCCCTTTCTGTGAGCTCACACCCAAAGCGCTCCCACATAGAGAGCACGCGATTATTGCCTTATTGCGCATAAATGGCTAAATACACACATAATTGTCAAAATCGTGATGAGTATTCACGTAAACCATCGATTTATACTAAACATTTTTGGTATACAAGCTATTAAAGGGGTCATATGATGCTGCTAAAAAGAACAGTATTTTG